CACAACACCCTATACCCTCAATCTGTCTTTGGAAAGTCACAGATTTAAAACGTGGCATCTCCTGAAGACAATGCTTCCCTGTAGCCCTAAAGTCACTATAAAATGACCCACCCTGGGACACATGGATGGCTCAGTTGGTAGCCATCCAAATTCAGCTCAGATCATGATCTCACGGTTCGTGAGTTCAAGCCCCGCATTGGGCTCTGCACTGACAGCTCAAAGTCTGGAGGCTGCTTTGGATTCTCTGTCACCCTCTGTCTCTGCCCCACCCCTGCTTGTACTCTGTCTCTCAAAAATGAATAAACATTTTTTTAAAATGCTTTTAACTATAAAAAAATAATAAAAATAAAATAAAATAAAATGACCCATCCTGAGAAGTAAACCAGGATTACAGCAGAGATGTGACCTCCCTCTCTACCCTGCCCCCAGCATAGATTTTCCAGTTTTCCTCAAGAGCAAACCCTACTGTTTTGGACCAATCTCAGATTCTGACTCAAACCATGCTTGTTAATATCCTGTTAGTAAAATCTAAGTTATGGTCACTTCTAACAACTAGAGATGCATTCATAGAGCTGAGAAGTTGAAAGCCTCCTATAAGGTAACCCAGAAACCAACAAGACTCCCACAGCTGTGGCTTCATCATCCCACTCCATTCATACCGATCTTGGTTGTTTTATTAATCATGTTTTTTTTTTTTTAATTTTCTGTATTTTATTATGCTTTGACATCTTGGGATGGATCTGTCCTTCTCAGGATTAGTTAATTCCTAGAGATAGCAAACAATTTGCCTTTAAACACACATTTCATATGCAAACCAACCAATCCAAAGTCTGCATCCCCAACCATCTCCTTTATCTAACTCACACACCAAGCCAATATTCCGCCTTTCCTAAATCAGTCCAAGGCCTGGTAACAGACTACTAGGGTCCACTCCTATAGCCCAGAGCCCTGCTACAATTATTTAGACTAGCCAATCCTCAACTTCTTACCTAGCCCTACCCATTCCTTCCACTGTTGACTACAATAAAGGCTCTGGGCCATGCTCTTCTCTTGTTCTTTCTGCCTCCTGGCCAACCTTGGCACTTTCCCTGTGTACTATGGCCCTACATGGCATGGCACAACCCTTCTTCTTGGGAAGTCTGCATAATAAAACTCTCAATGGCACTGAACACTGAAAACAAGAGCCGTATTTTGCAAAGCTCTGTATTATGGGTTTGCGTGCCCAAGAACATACACAATCAGTGTTTACTCAAATGAAGTATCTGCTAAACTGTGGCCAATTCATCCCTCGGCAAAGCCATTTCCCTGGGATTGTTCTTCTCCCAAAGCAACAATACACAGTAGAACAAGTTGGCAAGTGGTTCTCGTGTTCCACAGAGAAGAAATAAACGCCAGCCCCAAGTACAGGCATCACATGCACTGTCAAGTTCCAACACGGAGTCCAGGCCTGGCCATTATTGAAAGCACTTACACAAAAGACAAAGCAGAAAGAGGGCTCTTCAGACACTCAGCACCATAGCTCAGGACTCTGCCTCATTGGCACAGAAAATAAATTGTGATAGCGTTCACTAGAGAATAAATCTAAATTGTTTTCAGGGGCACCGGGATGACTCAGTCGGTTAAGCGTCCGACTCCAGGCTTCAGCTCAGGTCATGATCTCGCAGTTTTGTGAGTTCAGGCCCCAAGTCAGGCTCTGTGTTGGCGGTGCGGAGCCTGGTTGGGACTCTCTCTCTCTCTCTCTCTCTCTCTCTCTCTCTCTCTCCTCTCCCCCACTCATGCTGTCTCTGTCTCTCTCAAAATAAATAAACTTAAAGAAATAAATAAATAGTTTTGAGCAATTAATAAGACTGGGAGCAAGGGGAGGGGGACTGTATTTTGTTCCATTGTGTTAAATATATATGCCTGAATTCTGGGACTTTGACTAAAATGTCCTCTATACCTTGGGATTTCTAGTGAATAGCTCATGCTATGAAATTTGGGTAAGTAGAAACTTTCTTTAAGACAATTAAGTAATGTACAGTCATTGGTTTTTACGCTGGTCATCTGGTATTGGCGAAAGGACATGGATTTGCAGTCCGAGGACTGTTTGTTCAAGTATGGCCTCTGTCATTAACTACCTGTGTGACCCTGATAAAACCTTCACCCCTCCCAGTCTGTTTCTTTATTGTCAAATAAGAAAAAAAAGGGGCGCCTGGGTGGCTTAGTCAGTTAAGCGTCCGACTTTCGCTTAGGTCATGATCTCACGGTTCGTGGGTTCGAGCCCCGTGTCGGGCTCTGTGCTGACTGCCAGCTCAGAGCCTGGAGCCTGTTTCAGTCTGTGACTCCCTCTCTCTCTGACCCTCCCCTGCTCACGCTGTCTCTCTCTCTCCTAGAAATAAATAAATAAAACATTTAAAAAAAATAATAATAAGAAAAAAAATCCTTACCACACTGAGATACCACCTCACGCCAGTCAAAGTGGCTAAAATGAGCAAATCAGGAGACTATAGATTCTGGTGAGGATGTGGAGAAATGGGCACCCTACTACATTGTTGGTGGGAATGTAAACTGGTGCAGCCCCTCTGGAAAAGTGTGGAGGTTCCTCAAAAAGTTAACAGTAGAACTCCCCTATGACCCAGCAATAGCACTGCTAGGAATTTACCCAAGGGATACAAGAGTGCTGATGCATAGGAGCACATGTACCCCAATGTTCATAGCAGCACTCTCAACAATAGCCAAAACATAGAAAAAGCCTAAGTGTCCATCAACAGACGAATGGATCAGGAAGATGTGGTTTATCTATACAATGGAATACTACATGGCAATGAGAAAGAATGAAATCTGGCCACGTGTAGCAACATGGATGGAACCTGAGGGTGTTATGCTGAGCGAAATAAGTCAGGCAGAGAAGGAAGGACAGCTACCATATGTTTGCACGTATAGGAGGATTAGGAGGAACTTGACGGAGGACCAAGGGGGAGAAGAAGGCGGGAAATAGTGGGGGAGAGGGAGAGAGGCAAACCATGAAAGACTCTTGAATGCTGAGAACAAACTGAGGACTGATAGGTGTGGGGGGGGAGGGGGAAGATCGGCCTGGAGGAGGGCACTTGTGAGGATGAGCACTGGGTGTTATATGGAAACCAACTTGACAATAAAGTATTTGTAAAAAAAAAAAAAAAAGAAAGAAAGAAAGAAAGAAATCCTTTATAGGAAAACCACTCTGAGCATTAAATACTATAATGTATGTTAAAGGTGCTTCATAAACTCTAAACACTGCACAAACATCAATCATCTATGGCACTGTACTAGACGAGTCAGTCATGAGGCCTGCCCCTAGCTGGTGCTCAATATTTACAGTATAAATAAGCATCTCCTGCTGGTCAGCTGTGTGATCTCAGGCAAGAAACCTGTCTCTCTTTCTTCCCTCCTCTGATATCACTTCTCACTTGTTCACTGCTCCAGCCACACTGTTCTTTTTCCTGTTCCTCCAACAGAGCGAGTTCACTCCTGCCACAGGGGCTTTGCACCCGCTGTTCCCTCTCCCTGGAACATTCTTCACCAGTTCTTTGCATGGCCTTCCACATCTCATCAATCAGGACTTAGGTAAAATGTCATTTCTTTAGAGGCTTTCTGACCACCCTGACTAATGTTCCTTGCACATCATTCACCCAATACATATTCCTGTTTTATTTTCTTAGCACTTATCACAATCTGTTGACTTGTTTATTACACTCTCCTCCATTAGAATAAAAAACACAATACCAGAGCTTCCTGGTTCACCACTGTCTTGTTCACCACTGTACTCCAGTGCCGAAAACAACATCTAACTCCTAGTAAACTCTCAATAAGCATTTGAATAAATGAAGTCGAAATAAGGTAATTCTATCAAAAGTTTCATTAATTGAACAGATATTTTATATGTACCTATGAGAGCCCAAGCTCTATTTCAAGGTGTTGGGAACAAAATGGACAAAAATCTCTACTTTCTTGGGGCTTGCCTACTCGTGGGGAAACAAAAAAGATAAAACTTAAAAACATACTATGCCTGATAATGTTAAGAAGGAAAAAATAATAAAGCAAGAAAGGAGGACATGAAATGTATGTTTTAGATAGGGTAGCCAGAGAAAGAAATGAGAGACTGAGCCATGAGGATATATGGGGGAAATGCAATCCAAGTGGTCAGGGTAACTGGGACAGTAATCAAGGTGTTGGAGGCTAACACAGTAGGAGATAAGATCAGGAAAGTTAAGGGAAATCAGACTGTATAGGGTCCTTCAGCTAAACTCAGGACTTTTTTTTGGCTTTTACAAAGAGTAAGAGAGGAAGGTGTTGGAAAATATGAGCATCCGAGTATCAGGATATGGTTTGCTATAAGAGGACTGCTACGGCTGCTGTGCTGAGAATATCTGAAGGGCAAGGGAAAGGACCAGTGAAGATGCCACAATAACCTTGGTAAGAGATGGTGGCTCCTGAAAGACTTGGGGAGGAGGATATATGGGGATGGAAGATAAAATTTCAGGTTTTAACAGTTGCATTGGGAGTTTAAGGGGAATATCTGGGTAGAAACTGAAACTCAAATGGTATTTATTATCAGCAATAGCTGAATCATGGAGATGGAGCCCTGCCTCTACTACATTCTGGAGGCACTCTTGAGTAAACTATTTTTAGGTTCTGGGCCTCAGTTTCCCTAACAGTAAAACGGAGAAAATACTCCCACTTAACAGGGCCTTCAAGAGAACGAAATGAGAAGTGTCAAAGGCTGACGGTGAGCAAGGTAAGAACCTGCACAAACCTGTACCAGAGTAAGGGGGCTGCTGTGAAACCAGCGATTGACTTTCAATTCCACAGCACAACACTCCGAGGCTCCCCATCAGCGACCAAAGAGCAGCGCGAGGGCCCGCATTGCAACGCGGGCTGCAGCGCCCAAACCTCGCGAGATTTGCTGGCCCGGCAATGTCACCCTCCCACCCACATCTCGCGAGACCAAGGTTTATGAGTGGCTATCTGCCGGTTAGGGCTTGCAGGAAAGATGGAGTATCCCGCGTTGGGCACCGTCGAGGCCGCGGACAGCGGAGGGGCCCGGCCATACAACAGCTCGGAGGAGCGAGAAGGCCGGGAACCGGACGGACTGCGCTTCGACCGCGAGAGGGCGCGCCGCCTGTGGGAAGCAGTGTCTGGGGCCCAACCAGTGGGGAGGGAGGAAGGTGAGTCCGGGGACCTCAGAGGTAGAAATCCCTCGCTCACCCGCTCGTTTCGCAGAGAGCGGCGGAAGCGTGGGGCGGGAACGCGGCCCAGCCCCCGGGTCTCCGGTCACACCCCCTGGCGCCCGGCCCGCCCCATTGCGTGACGCGCCCTGGGACTCCTTTACTCGTGCACTCCAGCAGGGCCTGGGTGCTGCGGGCCAGCTCCACTCAAAATTGAGGCCGTCGCACCCAATGAATCAGGTCTCCGCACTCAGATGGTCAGGGACCTTCTCATGCTCACACCGTCGGGGGTGGAGGGCCTTCACCGCCTTTCTTACCCACCAGAGCGCAGCCCTTCCCAAACTCGAGGACTGTAATTCCTACTCGTGCCTTCTCGGAGACCCACAGAACCTTCTCCGCCAGACTTCTAGCCCCCCACCGTTTCCCCCTGACTCTCCATCGTCCCAGTCTCCAGGTTCCCCCACCCCTAGTGTATCTTGTCTCCCTTCTCTCATGCCCCACACTTCTAAGAACTCCAGAAGGCCTTAACCCCCATGTTCTTCCTGGCCTTGATGACTTGAACCTCATTTACCCCTGTTTCTATTTGTCTAGTCTACTACCTGGGTCCCTTTTATGAGATGGGGGCCAGGAGCCTGAAAAACTGGCCAGGATATACTTTGAGTCCAGCTTCTTTTATATCCCAGGCTTGTCCCGAAGTTGTGAAGAACAGAATAAACGGGGTGGGGGTCGGGGGGACACTTCTGGGCTGAAGCTTCCCAGCTTCCTCTGCATTTGACCATTGGGTAGGATAGAGATAGAGGGAGGGTGGAAAGAGCTGGTCTGACCTGGTTGTGTGACTCCTTTCATAGTCTTTAGCCCCACGAGCTGCTTAACTCCAGTCCAGAAGTACAAGAACTGTCTGGCCTTCTGTGCTAATCTGTCAAGTAATCTGCTGGGAAATCAGATGGTTTGTTTGCTTGCTGAGCAGACTAATCTTGGAAAGTTTAATATGTTGCTTGTGAACTGATTGCCCTGGAATAAAATGGGATTTTTTACCACATCCAAAGAAAATATGTTTAAGTTTGGGGTGGTGCACAGACCTATACCCTTGAATACACTTCTCCAAGTTTAAAAACTAGTCTAGTCTGACTCCTGCTAAATTAATATGGGCCTTCTGTCTCCCTCATAATCTCAAACTTGTTTGGTACAAATCCCCCCCAAATACACCCCAATATTCCCTCACTAATTTAACAAAGAGTCATTGATGACTGCTCAGTTCCTAGGACTCACTGGGCATCAGAGCTACAAAGATGAGGAAGATACTGTCCTTCCCTTGGAGGGGTTTATAGTCTAGTCCAGGAAGCAGGCACCAAAACAGTTTCAGTATAAAGTAATGGGTGCAGTAAAGAGGAATGTATAAGAATTGGTTGTACACAAAGAGGAAGTGACCTTTGTGCTTGAGGGACAGGGAGGGCATCTGCTGGACCTTGAAGCAGAGAACACAGCAGTTGTGCTCTAACAAGTGAATTGCTTATGTATGTATGAATGTACAGTGTCACTTAGGACGCAGTTCATTTCCCTGCTCTCCTCATGTTCCAATTTTTACATGAGGTCTAGATACATACCTTTAACACCAAGTTCTACTCACCTCGGTTTTTGTTTTGTTTTTCTCTTAGCACTTTTATTGAATTATAATTTGTATACCATAAAATTTACCCATTCTAACTGTACAGTGCAATAACTTTTTACTAAAAGTATAGAGTTATGTAGCCATAATTCTGTTTTAGAATATTTCCATCACTCCGATTAGTTCCCTTCTGCTTCTTTACATTAAATCCCCACTCTCACCTCCTGCCCTAGGCTACCACTGTCTCTATAAATTTGCCTTTTCTAAATGTTTCATATAAATAAAGTCGTACAATATGAATGCATTTGTCTTCTCTCAGCATGCTTTGAGGTTCAGCCAAGTTGTACTATGCATTAGTACACATTACGTTTTGTTGCTAATAGAATCCCATTGTATAGATCTTGCTTTTTATCCTTTGACAGTTTCTGGCTTCTGAGTGGGCTGTTGAGACTGTTCACATTTATTTATTGATAAAGGCTAGATTTACATTTTCTATTTTGCTATTTATCTCTCTTTCGTTTTGTTGTTCCCTTTCTCCTTTACCAACTTCCTTTGTGGTCAGTATTTTTTAGTGGACCATTTTAATTCCTCTGTCAACATTTTTTTGTACTTTTTTTTTTTAATGTTTATTTTTGAGAAAGGGCGCACAAGCAGAGAAGGGGCAGAGTGAGAGGGAGACAGAGGATCTGAAGCAGGCTTTGTGCTGACAGCAGAGATCCTGATGTGGGGCTCAAGTCCCATGAACCGTGAGATCATGACCTGACCTGAAGTCAGACTCTCAACTGACTGAGCCACCCAGGCGCCCCCCCCTTTTTTTTTTACTTTTTAATTGTATTTTCTTAGTGTTCGAGGGACTATATGATACATCTTAACTCTTCACAGTCTACTTCAAATTAATGCTAACCTAAATCTGATAAAATGTATAAAAACTTTCCTCTAATAGTGCTCCATTCCTCACCCTCCTTTGTAATATTATTGTCATATTTACTGCATTGATATGTTATAATCTAATTATCCAGTGTCATAATTATTGATTTATACAATATGTCTTTTAAAGAAGTGAAGAGAAGAAATTAGAAAACAAATATTTATGGGGTGCCTGGGTGGCTCAGTCAGTTAAGCATCTGACTTTGGTTCAGGTCATGATCTCACAGTTTGTGGGTTCAAGCCCCGCATCAGGTTCTGTGGAGACAGCTCAGAGCCCGGAGCCTGCTTTGGATTCTGTGTCTCCCTTTCTCTCTATTCCTCCCTACTAATGCTCTGTCTCTCTCTTTCAAAAAATAAAATGAACATTTAAAAAACATAAAAACATTTTTTAAGAAAAAATATTTTTTTAAAAAAATTTTTTTTAAATGTTTTATTCATTTCTAGGAGAGAGAGAGAGACAGCGTGAGCAGGGGAGGGTCAGAGAGAGAGGGAGACACAGACTCTGAAACAGGCTCCAGGCTCTGAACTGGCTGTCAGCACAGAGCCCGACGCGGGGCCTGAACCCACGAACCGCAAGATCATGACCTAAGCGAAAGTCAGACGCTTAACCGACTAAGCCACCCAGGCGCCCCTAAGAAAAAATATTTATAATGTCCATTACTGACCTACATATTTACCATTTCTGTTGTTCTTCTTTTTTTTTTTTCCCTATTGATTCATTACTGCTTAGTACCATTTCCTTTCAGCCAGAAGGGCTGTCTTTAGTATTTCTTGCAAGGCAAACCTGCTAACAGTGAATTCTCTCAGTTTTTATCTGGGAATGTCTTTATTTTGCTTTCAGTCTTAAAGTATATATATTTTTTAAATAACACCTTTATTGATACATAATTCATATGCCATAAAATGCACCCTTGTAAAATATACAATTCAATAGGGTTTAGTATATTCACAAAATTGTGCAACCATCACCACTATCTAATATCAGAACATTTTCATCACCCCAGAAAGAAACCCTACGCCCATTAGCAGTCACCTCTGGCAACTGTTTATCTCCTTTCTGTTTCTGTAATTTTTTTATTCTAGATGTTTCATATAAATTGAATTGTATAATATGTGGCCTTTTGTGACTGGCTTTTTTCACTTAGCATGTTTGAAGGATAGTTTCCCTGGACATGGAATTATTAGTTGATAGCTCTGATCTTTCTCACTACTTTGAATACATCGTTCCACTGCCCTCTGGCTTTCATTGTTACAGATGAGAAGTAAATCATTAATCAGGTTATTCCACTGTACATGATGTGTCATTATTCTCTTACTGCTTCAAAGAGTTTCTGTCTTTATCTTTCAATACTTTGATGTATCTGGGTCTTGGTATTTATCCTATTTTGAGTGCCTTGAGACCTTTAACTGTATGGATTAATATTTTTCTTTGATGAAATATGGGAAGTTCTCAGACATTGTTTCTTCAAATATGGTTTTTTTTTTCATCTATTCCTTTCTCTCCTTCCAAGATTCCCCATATATATTTGTTTGGTATGTTTGATGTATCCCACATGTATCTGAAACTCTGTTTATTATCCTTCAATTTTCTTTCTAACACCACATCATCAATACCATTACTTTTGTTTTCTTCATGCCTTTTTTGTATAATAAAATCTGAGCTTTTTCAGACCATCAACAGTATGGATTCACAAAAAAGAAGTACTGAAGCTAACTAACCTTAACAGGGCTAATATCCAATTCATTATTATAGACCACCCTGCTTGTTAGACTACACTGCCTAAACGGTCTGACCCACTGGTAAATTATGTCCAGCTTGCTTTTACTAGGATCTTTTATTTACTGCTTTCTAACTATAGCTATACCTAGAAATCAACTACCATGCTAAGCAGAGTCCTAAATAGGTTAAAACTCTCTCTGAGAGGCAACTTTAGACAATTAATGAATTTCTGTGGAGCTGAGTTCAGATTCTAAGGCCCAAAGAATAGCAAGTCATGGGGCACCTGGGTGGCTCAGTCAGTTAAGCGTCCAACTCTATATTTCAACTGAGGTCATGATCTCACAGTTTGTGGGTTTGAGCCCCACATTGAGCTCCATGCTGGAAGTGTGGAGCCTGCTTGGGATTCTCTCCCTCCCTCTCTCTGCCCCTCCCTAGCTTGCTCTCTCTCTATCAAAGTACATAAATAAACTAAAAAAAAAAAAAAAAAAGGAATAGTAAGTCATTATAAATTAGCAGTGTTCACCATTAATTGGAATATCAGAGATGGTTTAGTCATGAAGTGACCAGCTATTCTGGCCCTAAGTATCCTAAGGCAACTTAAGGCACATTAAGTCACCCAAAGATGATTGTAACTTGAATTGAGGTATCATGATCATTTTCTCCCCCAAATACTACTTCCCCTAAATTCTATAAGTTTATGAATTAATCTTGCTTTCCTATACCAGCTCTCTCTGCCCATACTTCATT